GGCATCTTCATATGGTTTGCCACTCGAATTTCCCCTTATATTTACATATATTTGTTCTTTGCGATCTACACTTTTTTCTTAGAAAACATTTTGGATAGGAAATGTTTCAGAATTTTGAATTTTAGAAAGGTAATATGGATTAGAAAGGTAATATATAGTTATCTTAATATAAATTTCATAATGCCAAAATCAGATACATAGATAGTACTTCAGCAGTGTGTCACTTACTTGCACTAAATGGCATCTGTAAAGACTACAAGCAGGTTTTTATCCTTTTAGATTAGATTTACCACCAACTGAGGTTTGTCACCAAACTAAAAATAAACAAAACAACTTTGTTTTTCAGAATTGCTTTGACTTTGGAATTATAGTTGAATCAGTACATTTTCTTCTGCTGCTGCATTTCTTGTAACTTCCTCTTTAAGTTTCCAAGCTTAATGGAGATTTTGAGTTCTAATGATTCACTTTTCTGTTTTTTTCACTTTTCCTTGGAATCGAGGACCAGCTTTGATTGCCTTCATCCAGGGCTGCCTTTGCCTTTCGATCCCTTCCTAACTTTTCTGTGTTTGTAAGAATCTGACCCATAGTGCTTTCCAGGGAAGCCCTGGAATTGTTTAGACGAGCCTTGTCCTTGGTGCTCTCCCAGAATTCTACCTTGAAGCCTGCCTTAAGGCTGAGTCATAGGACACGGTGTTAACTACCCTCCAGTTTGGATTCTGCTGACAACCCCCCCCACCCCCATTTTTTGCCTCTTGTAACTTGACTGCTATATTCAGATAAAGCCACAAGATGGTGCCCAAATAGCAGCAAATTTCTCAGGTTTCCAAGTGCCAGAACTTCCTGACCAAGTTCTTTGCCCTTAAAGTACAAGTCAAATATAGTGTAGGAATTTCAGAAGAGATCCTGCTAATTTGGAAAGATGTCAAAATAGCAAGTGTTTAAACTCACCTTGATTGCTCTTCATGACTAGCAGAATCTTTTCAGGTGCTATCTGAAATAATAGCCCTTGGAAGGAAACACTTATTAAGTTTATCATCTGTATTTTATGGTCCCAAGATATACTTGTCAAGAAATTAGAACCAGTGTTATTATGGTACCTGGTGAAATGCTTGAGCTGCCAAACATGTATGGACTGTATTTTCTCAGGTCTGGTGAAAGTGTTAAATGGAGAACTAAGTGTCTGCGTTAAAAATTGAGAGTGGATTGCCCCGATTTTTAGAACTAGTCCTACTTTTCCAAACTCCATTATATGTGGTCATTTTTTTCCATGTTGAAATTGTATATTCTGGAAGATTTTTGGCTCCTGGCAGTCCTCTGAAAATAATTAAAATTTGATTTGCTTCTGAAATATTTTTTCTGAAAGGCTACAGTAGGGAACTATGACTTAAGCTATATTACTATTTCCATTTGCGCAAGAAGGTAGAAGAATAATGTTGAAAGTTATTCCTACTGAAATAGCAGTAAATATTAGTAAACTGGTAATAATGGGCAACCATATTAAAGCACTAACACAGTTGAGAAACAGAATTAAAGCAAGACTAGAATCTGGCTTTGCTAGATATTCCACACCCTTTTTATTTCCATTAGTCTCAGATCTTTCTTTTTTTCTTATAATACTGTTTCCATTTACAAAGTACTTAGGAAGTTAAAGATATCAACTCTTAATCAGGCAAGAGAAAAAAGGGAATTAAAGTTTGCTTTGTAATTTGGATTAAGGGAAAGTCACTGGTTATACAGAAATGCTATCATTCCTAACACTGCCCTTATTTACAGAGAGAAAACGGTTAGAAGCCAAGCAACGGGAAGACATCTGGGAAGGCAGAGACCAGTCTGAAGTTTGAACATCACTCAATGGAAGGGATAACTCCATGAATTCAGAAAATAATTTCCATAGTCTTCCAGCTAAGAGGATCCTTCACGACCTCTGTGTACAAACAGATGTGCATGTTAATGAAGGAAAGTGATAACAGCGATCAAGACAAGGACTGACTGACTGTAGAAAGAAGATAGACTTCTCTCTGTCTTCACTCCTAATGCAGTTCTTTGGAATCGCTTACTGTGTTGCGCTTACTGTGTTGCGCACCAGTCAGGAAGAAACTTGGAAGATGTGACTTTTCAGGGCAAGTCACATTAGCATGGGGCACACTTCCAAGATGTTTTAGGCAAATACCAAACAGAGGATTCAAACATGCAATGATGGGAGATTTAGGCCCTGCAACAGCAGGGTGTTTATTCTATACAACCTCACAAAGCTGAGAATAGCAATATTGGGGGGAGGGGGAAAGGGAGAAAGCAGTTAGCACAGAGAGGTTGAAACAGTGTCTAGTCACAAAATCCACACTGCTACTTCCAGAATGCCAGAGTTGGTGAACTGCAGCTGATGTGGGTGTTTGGACTCCAGAGTTTGTCTTTGCAGAGAGCCTGGGGTTGCTCCAGCTGCACAGCAGCCAGGGGTATGCCAGCTTTATTTCTCATAGGAAACCAGTCTGGGGAGTGCTGGTTGCAGTTGAAGCAGTGCTATCATGTTGGAAAAGACATTAAAATCTATTTTATATTGTATGTCACTCTGGTATTTGTCATTTTGTCATTACCACAGAGAAATTGGAGAGCCGTTCTCCTCTTCATCCCTATAATAATACCATGCATGGGTTCAGTGGATCTGTTGATTTTATCAAGCCCCGCTAGGTAGAGAGCTGATCACCTCTCTGCCCAGAGTATATTTCAGAAGCATCTCTGCTGGGATAGGTAAGTGGCTGCTCCTCTCTCCTTGTGTGTGTCTTCCTTGTACACCTCGGCCCAACCTCTTGCCTTTTCCATTTCTTTCCAATCTTGACATCCTGCAGACAGCATCTGGCACACAGCATGGTCTCGGTATGATCTTCTCAGCCTGTGCCAAAGGCACTTGGCAAGCAGCACCAGAGCATCATTATAATGCAGAGCAACCAGGATCAAGCAAACACCTCTGGGCAATGAGATTCCCTAAAGGATGCAGACAAGTCAGAACCATCAGCTCAGGCTTTATCCCCTTCATATCTCCATTGTCAAGGTTTTTTGGAAAGTAGTTCTGCACTGACAGAATGGTAGTGTCAGACCTCAGGATGCCGCAGTAGCAGGAAGTAGTGTCTCATTGTTCTTTCAATGAAGGCAGCAGCCTCGTTTTTGTATGATTTAGTGCCCGTGACAATGATGGATTATTAGCATTGCCTAGAACATGGTGGAGTGGGGTTCTGTTCAGACATTTCTTAAACGGCACTGGCCTTGGGCCTCAGTCCTGACCCACCCATCCCTGCTGCTGTTCCGGTCTGGAGGCCCTCTCAGACTTGCTCAGCACTGTTTTTCTCATTCTCGGTTATTTCTGAAAGTGTCCCTTGTTGATATTCAATGCCTCCATCCCAAATTTGGGGGTTTAAGTTCTTGACAGTGTCCCATGTCCCTCTCTCTGCTTTGTATCACATAACTTGTGCTCTCTGTCTTCACAGACAAACTTCTCCAGATAGGAGTGTTTGAGGGACTAGTGTGACTGCATGTGAAGGGGAACTCGGAATCATAGCCAGGTTTCATACTGCTGGTAGACCTCGGAGGTGCCCCTTTATTCTGTTATGATTCTTTGAGGTGGAGAGGATCCTTGGACAGAAAAAAAAGGAGGGAATTTCTCCCAGCACCTGCTTTTGAGGGTGCTTATACTTATTGACAGCATTTTGGCTGATAAAGGCATTGTTAATGGTAAAATATGATTATTACTCCGCTTCCTTATAGTCCTAAGATTTCTAAAAAATTAACGTTTTCTAATGGTGTGTGCTAGATGGCTAGTAGCTTATGGTTTGTTTTTTTTCCCCCGCCAGCCATCAGCCACCTCTAGCTTTCAGAATTATCCTAATAATCAGACCCAGAGAAAGATTTTCTTTCTTGCCAATACTGAAAACTAGGTTGTGCTGCTGCTTCCACCACTAGTAGGAAATGGGATTTTTAGGGATTGACTGGAAGGCACATGGTTTTCCATGACCCACCACAGACTCTTATCAAGCTTGTGCAGATGAGGATCAAATCCTTGGTCACATTAAATGGGCCTTCACCAGCTGGGCTAACTGGGGCTGCCACTGGCTCCTTTTTCAGCCATGTAGGAAGCCAGCACGTGCCCTCCACTTTGTGCAGCTGGTGCTTCACTTGTGTTGAAGGTCTGAATCCTGGGATTTATAATAGAAAGATCTGTTCCCCTGTTCTAATACATTTCCCATAGGGTGAAGGTCTGTGAAATAGAAATAAATTAGGCTTCTGAGTAGTAACTTGAGGTTCTTAGCACTTTAGTTTCTCAGAGACTAAGTGTGCTGAAGTGAAAATCTTTTGACATTTTTGGTTCTGCCTGGAATTTGGTGGTTGGTATTCTGCTAACATTCCTCATCTAGTTACAAGTCACGCCAGCCACCAGTCTTTGCATGTCCTTCCCTTTCAACTAGGAGGTGTAACAGCACAACCCTTGTATAGCTTTTTCCAAGAATTAAGACTGGCTACACCTATCAAATGTGTGATGTGGGCAGCAAGACTAGGAGCAGAGCCGGTGGCTGGCTGCCTTGCCGGCTTTTTCTGGCCCTTTTGGAAACTCAATCCAGCAAGAAGCTGTGGGTAACCTCCCTGCCTGAATCTAGTCATCAGTCACCACACGCTCCCCCACTAGCTGCACATTCTTTCACAGACCATTAGCTACATGTGTGAGTATAATGTTGTTACTGTTTGGGAGATGTTTGCTGGATCCAACAGGAAATCAGTCCTTCCCTTGTTTACCTAAACTGCCATGCCAAAATATAATACTCCCTCTGCCTAATGAAGGAGATGAGGGAGTTGAGCGTAGGAAGAAAGCTGCTCTTTGTATTCCTAGAGGGTCCCCAAGAGAGTGTGTCCCTCTTCTTCCCTGCAGAGGGGCAGCTGTCCTGATGTGGGAGGGTACAACTGCAGACCCGCCCTCTCTGCTGCCATTCATCTTGGCTTTGCAGGCTGGACTATAATTGTGTACAACCCGTAGACTTTACCTTTTTGCCTCCCACCTTTCATTCCTTAACCTTTCTGACCCGTGTTTAGGACTGAGCCAGGCAGCAGTAGGGCAGCAGCAGTAGGCTAATATCTGGTCTGAGATGTATAGCGGGCTATTGTGAGCACTGTGCCTGCCCTAGGCATCCAGCCAGCAGCCCAGCAGAGCGAAAAGAGCTCATGTGCTGGGAACTGCCCAGAGTCTCGTCTTTGGAGCAGTCCATAGTAAGCAGCCTTCATTGGTATTTGGTGTTAGACTGTAAGGATCACCTCCTTGATGTGTCTAGGTGGAGAAAGAAATGAAGAATCACATGGGCTTTTCTAGTACCTGAGCAAGAGCATTATCACAGCCACATCAAACAGGAATGATCGCCTCTCTAAGACTTAGTCTTTAACCAGAGTAAATATTCCCCTTCTCTCTTCGCCATAGCCCCTGGCCCCTACACCACCATACCTGTCTTACTCATACAGAGATGAGTGGCTTCTTTGACTGAGTTCTTTCCATTGCAAACATTTATTCAATGCAAAGTTCACTCCATAAGCCTGGTTGAGAACTGAAATTTAAACCAGTTCTGAGATGCAGTGATTTTGAAGGAGATTGACTTGGCTGCCAGGAATATGGCATGTATTTCCTTGGCAGAGGCCCTGGCAGGGGTGGGGTCCATATCACTAGGCAGTCTTCGTGGTTGGCCTCCTCTTGCTGCTCTTCAGGAAGGCCCTACCTTATCTGACTACTTCGGTGCATCTGCCCCCTTCTTGAGCACTCAGTACCTGGTGTTGTCAGCCCATCAGGACATAAGAGGATGCCTGAGGCCTAAGCTTCTGGGGATCTTAGAAACACCCATGTGTGTAGTAGAATTAAAATTAAGCTCACAAGAACAGACTCTTAGAATAAGAGGTGAGATCTAAATGAGAAAAGATAAGCAAGGGGCTGGATTCACCCACTTCTCTGCCACTTGTGACTTTGACACAAGTTATATTGCTTTGAACTCCTAGCAGAGCACTGACCCCACCTCCTGTCTACTTTGGTCCTGTCCTCTGCTCCTCCGAGACATTGGCAAAGCACCATTTAGATGGGGGATTAGGTCATAGTCCATCCCTCTAAACTGACTGCTCCTGAACCAGGAACTCCAGGGCAAGATACAGGAAAGATTGGGTCTCTGTATGGAGGAGGAGCTCAGTTGAACAAAGCCTGGCGGCCATGGTCCAGAGGCAAAGGCCCTTGGGGGGCAGCCTGAGAGCCCTCCTGAGGGAGCTGTGCCATCCTAGTTCAGTGATCCTGCCATCAAAAGGCTTCCTGAGCAGGTTCTTGGTGCTCCTTGGCACCGGCCCTTTCCCTCTGAGTTAGGGCTCTGTAAAGAGCATGGCTCCAGTAAGCTGAGGTATCTGGTGTGTGGGCAGCAGCTGGGAGTGTGCAGGGATGGCTTCAGATGAGGTTGTTCCTGAGACGCTGCTCCTGCTCCAGGGAGAGCTCAGTGCTCGCCCGGTATGAATCACCTATGGGCCAAAGGAAGACAGGTAAGTAGCAGCCCCTCCACCGCCTCCCCCTTCCCTCACAACATCACAAGCATGGTTGCATTCTGCCCCGCTCATCCTTTCCACCGGGCCAGTCATGGGCACAGACCACAGTTCAGTCCATAGAAGTGACCCTGGCAGGCGTGTCGTGTCAAGATGCTGGGGACCATAGGCTGTGGGGCAGGGAGAACTATGCTCCTTGCTCTCCTTTGCCCTCTCTAGATTTATCCTCTACCTTTGTTCTTTCCGTGCCCTGGGGAACTGACCCCTGGAGACTGTGTCACCATGGCTCCCTCATTCGCTGGTGTCTGGCTGATTTAAGTCAACGGGAAACAACAGCAGAGTGGGAGGAGAGAGGTCGGGCTACTTCTTCCCTCTCCGGGCCATGCTGGTCTGTGCCTCAGCCACGTCCTCCCTCCTCCACAGCCCTAGCCTCCACGGGTGCCAGGGCGCTCCTTGCCTCTTCAGGCCTAAGTGATGTTCCACTCTGGCTCAGCCCTGGATATCTCAACACCCCTCATTTTCTGTCTTACACCCTGTAAAGATCCCTTCATTAAATAACTGCAGACTCTCACCCCAGCGTGCCCTCTATTTTCTACAAGGACCCTGAGGGGTCAGAGTGGGCATAGTTTTTCTTCTCCGCCTGACTGCCCGCATCCCTTGCAGCCTGCGCCAGCTTTATGGAAGCTTTATTGTCCGGTGTGTGCGGCCACCGACTCCAGTTCCTGACTGCCCTCTCTCTCCCGCTTCATCGAATGCCATCAGAATCTACTCAGTCACTCACATCCAGAACTGCTGGCCATTCCTTCTTCCCCTTCTCATTTTGTTTGCCATCTGTTGCCAGAGCTGTCTTAGAAACATAAACTGGAGCTGGTTGCCCCTTGACTGAGCTTTGTCTCAGAGGCTCAGTTCCATCTTTTTACCAGGAATCATTACAACCCTCCCTGCAGAGAACTTCAGTGGTTGGATAGACATAGACTCAGTTTACAAAAGAGAAAACCTCTGAAGTTGAGATTTCCTGTCTTCGTGCTAGAAAGCGGTAGAATTGGATTTGGGACCCAGTGAAGCTTTCTAAAGCTGCTCTGCTTTGCCCCCTCTCCTACTACTCTCTTCTTTGCAAACTTCTGTCCCTCCTTGAAGCCTGGCTCAGCAGCATCTCCTCTGCAAACCTTTGCTAGCCCCTAGGTTGGTGCTTTCTTTTTATGCTTGCTCAGCCTTTAGTATTTAACCAATCCACCTTCCACCCCACACAGCAAGTGTAGGTTGAATGTGCTCGCTCCATAACAAATACAAGCGAAACTTGATGGGGGAGGAATCGCTTCCTTCATAGACAAGTACAGCAACTCCCCCTTTCTCCCCACCCCCACTGCTGCCACCCCAACTGAATCATTGCTTCCTCCTCTAATGATACTGCTGACCCCCAAGTATGCCGAGCCCTGTTCTCCACGGCCTCCTCTTTGTAAGCAGTGATCACAGTTGGAGGTGAGCAACATGGACCTGGGGACTTTAACTTTGCCCTGCAAGACAGTCCTCTTAGGGTGGAGGCAGGTAAGAAAGACCATCGAGAAGGAGGGGAAAATAACAAGAGGTGGAAGAGGAAATTCCTGACAAGTAACAGGGAAGATTTCAGGATAGATGGGAAACAGTTCATAATCCAAACAGTCTTCTGGGTCCTTAAGGACACAAGTGGTTATTGGGTAGCTAATGGTCTCACCAGTTTGTTTAGAAATCTACCTGTGAAGATTCATCCTGTCCCGTGCCCAGCCTTTCACATACATTCAAGCCACATACTGGTCCATTGGGTCATCCTGTTCCCTGAGCCCCACGGTGGTCCCCAGTTACCTGTGTGGCAGTTGTGCAGCCAAACACGGTGCCCGTCATACTTGCAGCGACACCTCATCATGTTGTTAGAGAAATCTGACTCCGCCACCTCATATTTTGGGTTCACAACCACCTGGAGTGAGAGAAGGGGACAAATGAAAGTGGGCGACTTGACTTCCAAGTAAGATGGTGGTCGCTGTAATAATCCTTCACACATACAAGTGTGAGGCTATACTGTCGTCTTACAAGATGTGTCTATAATCTTAGCTGTCTGTGCCATCACCCCAGGAGGTAAGCATTAATGACCCCATCCACTGTCCTCTGAATCCTGACTCAGTTCTTCCCCCTATGGCACAGCTCCTTCAAGTGCCAGGCCTGCCCAAGACCCTGTTTATAAGACTCCGCCTTCATGTGACTTGAGAAAGTTAGAACACCTGGAGGATGTTCAGACCCCTTTACCTGGAAGATATAATCCCCGGGACCCACGTCTGTGATGTCCACCCACTGGCAGTCAATGTCATGCCGGTAAGTGTCCCAGCAGCCTACGGTCACGCCTTGCTCCCCGAAGTTGGCACACGCGTAGCGCCGCTGCATTCCTGTAAGGAAGGGTGCTGACGGTTACTGAGGTCCTGGGCAGGACCAAGAAGCCTTGCCAGTCACATGCAGTCCGGAACCTCGGGACCTGGGGTTCAGATGTATAACCCGCCTGAGTACCAGAGCCAGAATTCCTCCCAACCATCAGTCTAGCACTAGAGATCGGCCTTATGTGCCAGGGGCCATTTCTTTGGATGCTCTGGTGGAAATCCCCATTGGCCCAGAACATGTGGTTGGAAGACTCCAACCCTACTGTGCTGATACATTCGTCCATCCATGCAAACCTCTAAGGACCCCCTGTTTAGGATGCCTCAGGGCCAGGGACGGGGCTAGCGAAAGGAGTCAGGTGATCATTTTCCTCAGGGCCACACTTAGAGATGAAACCCATCTGCAACTGTTAATACAAAATGGAAAGTGTTGAGCATTTTAATACTGCTACAAATGTGTTGAGAATGCAGAGAAAGCAGGCACCTTCCGTCTAAGATTTCAGAAGGTCAGAACTTGACCTTTTTGAATTGCCTGAAGTGCTGACTTTCCTCAGGCCAGTCACCAGTGTCTGAGGCTGTTGAGCGGAGCAGGGAACAGGATCCCAAAGGGATGAAGCATATAGTGCAAAGAGGATATGACGACAGGGAACCCCATACCTGTGGGGCAATTTGTGTCCTCTAGACAGAAGCTAGCCTTGTGCCCCTCAGCCACCTTGGAGCCGTTGAGTGTGAGTAGGTCGTAGTGGGTGAAGACTTCAATGCTGTGGTAGTGCCTGCAGAGAGGGCAGGGCTGTCAGCCTGGCAGCAGCAGACAAAACCTACTCTAGAGGAGCTGGCAGGGAGGATGGAGGCACCAGCCCCATCATTACCCAGAAAGGAACGTCATAATAGCAGGGCAGTGCCCTTCTCCCTCTCAAGCCCAAGAGGGTGACCCGTGGCCTACTCCTTGCACCCCTGCCAAGCAGCAGGCATGGATGCCCATCACCCTGGGGCATCCTTCACCCAGGTGAGGGGGGGACAAAGCTCATCCTGGCAGGCTCCAGCAGGCTGCTGCCAGCTGCAAGGCCTGGTGCAGAGGTGGAAAGAAGGGTGCTTCCAGGGTCCAGCCTAGGAGCTGAGCCGCTGAGGAGGGGGGCTTTCTCTGCTCCCCGTCAGCCTGGGACCAAATTACTACCATTGTTTGCAATCCAGTTCTAATGACAACCCTGTTCCTGCTATAGGGAAAGGTGCTTATTATCTCAGGCAAGGCCAAGTCCCAAAGTCGCTGCCCATTCCTCTCAGCTTTCCCCACCCAGGCCTGTGTTCTGGGCAGGAGGATGTGGGGTAGGAGGACAATGTATTTTTTTCATTCTTTGGCACGGGCTTTGTCTCCCCTGCTGTCCGGACTGAAGCCTCCTGATAGGAAGGAATGCTTATTATCTCCCTTTAGTCGCAGTGCTCATGCTGTTCTTGGGAGGCCTGGCTTTGCTGCTGCAGAAACTGCAAGCTTCTCTGCACAGGCAGCATCCTGGAAGTGATGTCTATTTTGAGTCTCCTGGTTTCTAAGAGTCCCCACTTGACCTTCCTTTAAAGAAAAGACCTAAGGCCCAACACAGAGAACCCGTCCATTATCATCCAGCAGAGACCAGCTCTGGCGGTGACCGCTCTTGGACATGGCTGTGGGAAAGGACTGCAGCAGCACCACTGACGTGGGTGCAGCCAGGGCAAGGAGGGAGCGATGCAGAGGGCTGGCCGGTGCTCCCAAGATTCCTCACTGTCTCCTGGAAGCAAGGCCAGTAAGGCATGGAGGAAGAAAAGAGTCTTCCCGGGGCACACACGCCTCCCGGGAGGGTCTGCCCGGGACCAGGGAAGCCCAGACTGGTTTGGTCTCTGGAGCCGAGGCCTGCTCAGGCACTACCTGTGGCACTGGTGCCAGATCCAGCTATGGCGTCCCGTCTTCGGGCGGAAGTCGGCCCGGCCCAGGTTGTGGATCTGTGAGGAAAAGCGCAGCAGGCGCCGGTGTCCATAGGGCCAGTCCATGCGGTCAGCAGACTGCGAGAGGCAGTTCTCTTCGTGGGCACAGTACAGCTGGCTGAGTGGCCGGTCCTCCAGGTAGGCCGTCTCCTGCACGAGCTGCGCGTTCATCACAAGGTCCGGGGCACCTGGGCCAGAGGGCGTGGTGGGGATGCAGGAGCTGGGCGAGGGCTTTTTGCCCTGGCAAGCCCAGGGCACAGGCTTGCCCCCAGACTAAGCTGCCCTGAAGGGCGACAGAAACGCAAGGCCATTTAGGAGTCAGGAGACGCAAGTTCTAATCATCCAGGAGCCATCTGCCACCCTAACCTGGGAGGTGGCTCAGGGTTATGGCGAAGCTCCCGGCTTTGGGAGCCAGGCCTGGGCTACGTCTAAGCTTACTATTTGACTGTACCATTAACTAGTTCTGCGACTGACTTAATCTTTGTGTCTCTCATTTTCCTCATCTGTAAAGTGGGGATGGTAATAACAGTGATTAATGCTGTAATGCCTGTTCACGAGCTCAGATCATTGGCCTGTGGTAAGCATGCGATTAATGTTAGCTAGAATTTCTTCTGCAAATGCTTCTCAGCCTGTTCGTGCCTCTGGGGGGCTTGGCTCACACAAGACCTCCATAAACTTGCTGGTATCTAACTTGGTTACCTCAGCTCAGTTGCTCTTCGGTCACTTTGATGGGGCCTCTGTCCCATCAGTGTTAGGGGCAGGGAGACCCGGGGAGGCTGGGAGGGATCCGGCCGCTGCTGAGCTCTGCCGCTGCATCCCTGCTGCTGCAGCCTCAGGCCTGGGCTTCCTCCATGGTTCCTGCTCTAGCCTGACTGTTGTCGTGGGTGCTCCTGCCAGGGCCCGGTGGGTGTTTCTGGTGCTTCTCTGTGTGTGCCAGTCCAGCACATGCAGCCCGCATCTCGGGCTGCTCTGTGCCCCTCCATTCCCTCTGACACAGGCGCTCACCCTCCTTGGAAGCCACAAGCCTCCACCATTGCTATTCTTCCATGTCAGCCCAGACGTGTGAGAGCCACATGTTGTGCAAAACAGGATGGGACTTTGATTCTGGCAGAGGCCTCACAGAGAGGAGCTGTGAGCTGACTCCGCAGACATGGGGACACTGGAGCGCATCAGGGCAGGGCGCTGAGGATGGGGCGGGGCCTGCTGGTTTGCTGTCTGATGCCTGCACTATCACATAACACGCTCTGGAAATTCCTGTGGTATGTTCTGGAGAGAGCCAGGGTAAGCCCACTGACAAGCCCTGGAGTTCCCGAGGGAAAGGAGCAGAGCTGTCAGAGGGAATGAAGAGAGAGTAAAGGGAGAAAGGAAGTGAGGAAAATCTCAGAGGAGAGATGGGCATGGCTGCAGAGCCCAGGCTGCCACCCCCAAGGCTGCCGCCCGAGCTCAGCTGCTGTGGGCCATCAGGAGGAGGACTGTTACCCGGGCAGTGGAACAGGGAGGGGAGTTGGGGGAGCAGACTCCCCATGCGCGGTAGCCCTGGGGCTGGCAGGTCCACTCTGATGCCCTATGGCCCCACAGGCAAGGCTGGGCTGGAAGGGCCCCTTGTTCTCCCAGATGTGCTGCTTCCAAGGAACCCCGAGGCTCTCGGACAAGGCCGGGATGTCTTGGCACTGGAGCTTGTCTGGGAACAAGGTCAAGTGGCCACTCAGATCGTGCCAGCCTGGAGCCTTTGGACTGGGTAGTTATCTTGGCACAGTCCTGGCTGGCAGGTGTCAAGCAGAGATGCTGCTGCCCCAAGAATCTGGGTTTCTGGGGCAGATAAAGGCCTCAAAATGGACTTTTGGGTACATTCCACAGCTCAAAAGAACATGCTGGGGCCTTAGGCACCGCATGTTCCTGACACGTACGCCCTCTTTTTACTACAAGCTTCAGTACAAAATATATCTTATGTCATGACCTAGTATCTACACACACACAGTTCCAAGACTAGAGTACACTAATGTAATATGCTATTACTTTCTATTCAGTTTCACTTCTTAAAACTATAGGTCATGACAGGAAAATTGAAAAGCACTGATGTGTATCCCTGTGTTTTCACATATTCCCTGTTAATTCACAGCAGCCACGAGATGGGCAGGGCAGGGTTGGTGTCCTGACAGGACAATGATTTGGCCACACTCAGCTGGTATATGGCTGAGCTGCTGCTCCAAGTCCAGCCTCCTTGCACCCGCTAGCCTGTGGCCTGGAGCCCGGCCACCCGGTACTCACTGTCAGTGCAGGACACTCCGGCTGAGAAGCGCCCGGTGCCATGGGAACAGTGCACCGGCCCGTGCCTTTGACACTGCTGCAGAGCCAGCTCCGTGCCCGTGCAGCGCACGCCACTCATCACCACCTCCTCGGCCCCCGGTGTCCCCTGCCAGTACCAGGTCTCCTAAGAAAACAGCCAACATCAGATAGTCAGGGCCTGGAGGTGCCTCTGTGGTCAGCACCTCTGGCTCAGACCACCGCCAGCTGGGCTTGCCAGTCCAGTCATGGGCAGTCTGTGCTTTGACCCTCTAGTGGTATAAATTTCTTCCATGCAGAGACAAAAATCTGCTGCCTTGGCTTCCACCACTGGCCCTGCTGCCACCCCTCTCCCACATGGTAGTTCTCAGCATTTGAAGAGGATGGTCTTGTCCCCTTCCTGCCCACCCAGGTAGCCTGTCCCCAGCTCCAGCTCCAGATCATGACTGTGCTCCAGTTGAGCCCAATTCTTCAGGGCATGTTCCCTGCCCAGCCTCCCCCTCAGTGCATGTTCCCTACCCGAGGCCTCTGCATTTGGTTTCCTGGACACCTTCTGAAATGATCCACATAATCCCCCAGGACTAGCACTGGACTGGTCCAACCCAGCATCCTTCCTCACCCAGCCGGCTATATTCATATTAGTCTCCACCCCAACTGTTTGCCAAACAGCCAAGGCAGAAAGCCCTTAATAATGTGAGCTGCAGGCTGTGAACGGTCCTGCCCTGCCTCTTCCTCATGGCGCCGCTCAGCCACACACCATCCTGGGGCCTGTGAGCTAAGCTTTCTCTGGCCACAATGTCTTTGCACAGGCTGCTTATTCCTCCCAGCCTCATCTGGCATCTGCTGTTCATCTGTCACATGTGTTTGTGGGAATATTTGGTGACGACTCCTTCCCTCCCTCGCCTGACTGATTGTTCTACGAGGTGGAACCACGTCATCCCATCCACCACAGCGCCCCCAGCACCCAGCATCACTGTGACCCAGATTTCACTCTGTAGTCACTACTGCATGAATGCAGGAAGGGTTAGCAACCTTGGCACAGGAACTCTGGGAGCAAGACAGGGACCTACCTTAATGGCATGGCTAGCAAATCCCAGGCCGAGCTGTCGGCAGACCACCATGGCTTCGGTGAGCCCCCAGTGGTCACTGCACACGGCCCCCCAGCGTTGGACGCCATTCACCTCCACCTGCACCTCCACCACGCCTTCCTCCGGGTTGCGCCCACCAGCCAGGCGCACCTGCAAGGTCAGAGGTGTGTGAGGAGCAGGTGGCTTAGGCAAGGAGCATGCAGGACGGACAGCCCAGGGCCTGCCAGCCAGCTCACTGTGGGGCCCAGGCTGGCACTCCCTTCCCTGGGTTGGTCTACTTCTCTACCGTGAGCTTGTCTTAGCTAGTCTCTCACGTTCCTGCATGGGAGAAAGCTCCACGAGCTGCACCTGCCTCCTGTTCTGGCACTTTCCCTCCTCCTACCTGAAACCCTTCCGCATATGAGGGTGCCCCAGCTGCAAAGCACTTTCCCATCTATTGTCCCATTCGCAATGACCCCGAGACAGTGACCCACCTCGCTACGTTACAGGAGAGAATCAAGATCACCAGTGTGAGGGCCTCACCCTCGGCACACACTAGCATGACTCCTGAACCCCGCCATCACACACAGCACCCCCTACCCCGGCACTGCTCCTCAGAGCTGACAGCCCTGTGGCCCTCTGCCCTGGGCGCCTTCCCACCTCACAGAGGATGTGGGGGCGGGGGAAGAACACAGCCACCTCGTGAAGACCTGAACCTGGCCCTGTGGGCCAGGCCAGAGACTAAGAGGGGCTCTTCCCAGGCTGGCTCCAGGCTGAGGTGGGGTGCTCCTCACGAGCCCACGGTGGCTCAGTGTGTCCCTCAGTGCCTCCCAGCCTGAGGCTATGCCCAGCTCCGAGCTCACCTGGCCCTGGAAGCCCATGTCAGGGATGTTGCACCTGACAGCAGCATCATTCTCATGTTGACAACCATTCTGGGGCCCTTCCAGGGAGGAGCAGTCACTGAGGGTTCGCTCGTACCCCCTGCAGCGCACCTCACTCAGATGAATGGGCCCCAGCCCTGCAGGGGAGGAGAGAGGTGCCAGGTGAGGTTCATCTCTGTGAGCCCACCCTGTGGCTTCCCCTCCACAAACGGGACAACATTCTGTCCTGGGCCCCTGCAAGGGAGCATCCAGGATCCCACCACCAGCTTCCACGGCCAGGCGCCATCCCTAAGCCTGTGAATTAAGCTTCCTCTGGCCCCATCTCCTTACCTTGGCCCAGCTGGGCCCCAAAGAGGGCCTCCCGAGCGGAGCCAAAGCCAAGCTGACGACACACGACGCTGGCGGAGATGAGGTTCCACCTGTGGTCGCACACTGTTCCCCACTGGCGGTTCACGAGCACTTCCACGCGGCCCTCGCCCACCTGGGCCCCAGAGCGCAGGCGCACCTTCATCTCCTGCTGGGAGAAAACTGCCTTCAGGGGGCCCCCTCCCCAAGCCCGGGCAGGAGCAGCTGGCAGGGCCGACCGCTGCCTTGGAGCGCAGGCAGAGCCCCTCAGAACCTGGCTGCGGCCCTGCCTCTGACTTCCTGACTTCCTTGAAGACGCCACGTGTCTTTTCAACCTCCCTTTCCTCAATGACAAGTACTGTCACCTGGGGTTCATTAAACCCCCTCACACCGTGAGGAAGCTGTGTCCATTTTAATTCTCTTCCATCCCTTCCGGCGCTGCGGAGGGGCCGGTCTCACTGTGGGGCTGCTGTGTCTGTGAGAGCGTTTGCTCTTTGCGCCCGGGTTCAATACCTTAGGCCCTCAACGGGATGCAGCTACAATGTAATTACTGTTTTTATGGTCGTGGCAGGTGATGCCAACGTTCCGTTTATGGCAGGGTTATAACCGGCCCCTTTTAAATAAACCCCAAGCTTCTTCCATTCTGTGACTCACTCTCCTCCTCCCAAATGACGGGGGTTTGTCCCTCCTCCCCGGCCTGTCCTGAAGAGTCCCTCCTGGGACTGGGCAGGGGCTGCCGAGAGGTGGGGTGCCGCCAGGTGGGGTGCAGGCCCGAGGGACCCACCTCTGCCCCAGACTCCTTGCGCACAGGCTTTGCCTTAGAAGGGCGGAAGCGGGGACCCGCCACACAGCTGACCACGGCGTGCATGCCCCCCGGGCAGGCTGGTCGCAGCTTGCCCCGGGCGGGCACCACCTGCACCTGGCAGTTGGCCATGTGGGGCTCTGTCCCCAGGCAGCTGACCCGGTGGATCCAGAAGGAATTCTTCTTGGTCAGGCTCTTCAGCCTGGAAGACAAGGGAGACTGAGGGTGGGGAAGGAGTTGAGGGAAGAGCTCAGGCCTCGGGGAGGTGAAGGCATTGGGGTGGGGGGACTAGGAAGGAGTCCCTTGGTGCCACGCCTCTTTGGATCCTCCCCCAAGGGTGCCACTCCTCACCTAGACTTGGGGTCTTTCATCTTCAAATCCCAGACTTTCCTGTAGGGGGGAGAAAGCAGGTGGCGAGTGGCGTGGGTGCAGAAGCCCTACCCCTGCCACAGGCTCCTCACAGGCCTTGAGTCTGCACCAACTGCACTGTTTGTCAGCTCAGTCACACGCCTTTATCTCTATGCTGAGCTCCCCTCCAGCCTGAGAAGGTGTCACCTGGCAGACAGCAACCATCTCTGTTATACAGGAAAGGAAGGCAGGCCCTGGCAAGGCCCCTCAAGGAGTTCCACAGCAGGGCCTCCTCTGCACCTGGTTGCCTCTGGGGCAGGCGGCTCCAAGCTTGCCCTCCCCTGAGTCCAGATGAAGGAGAACCTTCAGCAAGTGCCCCAGAGAAGGGGTCCAGAGGAGTGGTGCCTCCAGACAAGCTGAAGGGCCTGCTGGTGGGGCTGCCCACCCAGAGACACTGAGGCTATAATCTGGGTGGCCCTGCTCGTGGTGATGGGTGAGTCAGCCAGGCCCTACTGTGCAATTACCAGGTAGTGAGGAGGCGGGGCCCACACCCCAGTCATCCAAGGCTGAAGCCACGTGTCTGGTCTTCAGGACTAGTGTCATCTCAGCCAGAGACAGATGAGAGAGGGAACTGATGGGGACCAGGCAAGGGTAAATGGCTTCTCCCTTGATGAGAAACACATAGTAGCCCCCCTGACCTGATGAAGTAGTTGCCAAGGTCCCCAGTGACTGCCTGAAACTGAGAGTAATGTATTTTTTCCTACACATGCATTCCGATGATAAAGCAGGCACACTGAGAGACTGACAACGGGAAAAGAGGACAGTTACAACAATGTACCGTAATAAAAGCTATGATCTGATCTCTTATGCTTAAAATAACCTTATTGTATATCATCTTTTCAGACCACAGTTGACCTTGGGAAGTGAAATGGCAGGTAACCAGGGGCTACTATTCAAAGTTTCCCGGGCAGAGCTGGAGGGCAGGGCTGGGCCTCACTAAGAGGCTGATGCCATCTGGTGACAGTTGGGTCACAGTTCTGACAGGATGTTGCTGTCTGCTCTCCCCAAACCCGCTCCACCCCAGGCCTTGCCTACAAGCGGCCCAATCACGGCCTGGGCTGGGATCAGACTTGGGGAAACTCCCTGGGGTGAGGCTGACGTAGTTCCCGGGGTGTGGGTAATGAAGGTCTAGATGCTCCCTGAGGCCACACATCCTGGCAGCTGAGGCCAGACTCAGGGCTCCCGGACTCGTGGACAGCACTGGCAGTACCCCAGTGAAAGCTGATCTTTAAACCGGGGCCACCATGTTTCCCCTTCAATTGTTTTCACTTGGGAGTATTCTCCTCTACTGTCAATTCTTTTTATCTGATTGGCAAGTAAAATGTTTATTTTCTACCATTTCTAGTGATTTCCCCGGATTCCAGAGTTCATTTTCACTGTCCTTTTAATTATTCTCCTGAATACTCACTCCTTGTTTTCTGAATATTCTCTTATTCACCCAGGAAATCCAGCCACGTTCCTCAGCTGGACCTTTTCCCCTCCCAATCCCAGCATCCCCCGCCAATCCCACTGCTCCCCTGACGTGTGAACACACACCACAGACACACACACCACGGACGGGCACACGCGCCAGCTGCCCCCTCCGCCCTCCAGCCGCGGCCTACCTGTAGTAGTGGCTGTTGACCGGCGCCGTGCTGGGGAAGCCCAGCATCCCGCACACCACCCGGCTGTTGTTCCGGGTCCAGTCCTGGTCGCACACCTGCCGCCAATGGCCCTCGAACCTCACCTCCACGGCTCCCTCGGTCACCGGGCTGCTCCGCTTGGCGCTGGCGAGGATGGGCTTGAGCCGCACCGTCTCCAGCTGCTGGCCCTGTGGGTGCACAGTCACCACGGGCCCCAGGACCCCTGCCCTGCTGAGCCCCCTGCGGGTCCTTGTGGGGGAGCTGGGGCTCAGGCTGCTTAGAGATCACCCCACCCGGCCCCTCACGGACAGATCTGAAAACGGAGGCCCCAAGGCGAGGAGGCATTCTTCAAAGTTCTGGTGAGTGCAAGGCAGAACCTCGGGGTGTCCAGGGGCCTTTCCTTAATTCCAGAGAGAAGCCGGCAGAGCTGTGCCCTCCCTGGGATCAGGCCTGGAGCCCCTGGACTAGGGGAGGTTATCCCCAGGGATCAAGGGGCCTTCTTCCTGCCTCCCCAAGGAGAGCTAAGGAAGGACCAGACCAGATGCTTGAGTCCACCTGCGGGGTCCATCGACCACGAGGCCTCCCCACCCCTACTCCAGCGCGTAGATGACTTAACCAGTGCTGAGGCCCCACCCTGGCCCACGGTGTCCAGTGGGTCAGGCCCAGCTGTTCTTAGGCTGAGGGTTCCGGCAGCGGAGGGCAGGAGCGAAAGACCTGCCCTACCCACTCCTGTTGTTTGGTTAGGGCTGTTTTTAGCCTGGGGTTGTTTGTGCCGGGAAGAGGCAGCAATTGTGGCCAGGCCTTGTGGGTGAGACAGCCCCTTGCCCCTACTGCCTCCCTTATGGACTCCCTGCAGGCCCAGCCCCTGCTTCCCTGGCCTGTCCTGCATCCAGCTGAGGCCCAGTGTCCTGGCTCCTGCTCCAGGCCACAAATAGGCGGCAGAACCCCGGGGAGGCTCCTCAGTCCACATCTGCTCCCTTTGCCCTCCCCCCGCCTCCAGCCTCATCACCCAGGAGGCTCCCTGTCCCCTGACCCAACCCTCTTCTCAGAGCCTGAACAGCTTCCTCACCTGGGGCCCGAGGGCATTGGAGACCCTTTCAGAAAAGTAGCCACGCTGGCGCTGGGGGTGGCACACCACCCCGACGTCCTCCGAGTGGCTGCAGTCGCTGACGCCCCAGCCATTAGACCCGCACTGGTCCAGGGAGCTCTCTGTGCCTGCGCAGCGCACGTTGTCCAGCCAGATGGGTCCTGTGGGAATGGGGACAGTGGCACTAAGGTGACTTCGGCACCGGGCACAGAGAGACGGACCACAGGCTCTGTCTCCCGGATGGACCCCAGGTTGTCGGCTTTCCTGTTCCAAGCCTGAGCAGAAGGCAGGGGCTCGCTTAGATGCTGGTGTCTACGACCCTGCCTGCTGCCTCTGCTTGGCATCAGGTCCTGTTTTTGGAAAATGCCTAGTAAGTCTAGTTAGGCGTGCTTGTCTGTCTGTCTGTCCATCCGTCCATCCAGCCATCTATCCACGTGCCCAGCCAGCCAGCAATATATTCCCAATACCCGTTCCCGTGGTGTGACAAAGGCTACGTCCAAGGAATTTAGGGGCTGAGTTGTGATGCAGGCCTTCACTATAATCAGGAATGAGAAGGTCAAGGCAGGGTCATTTGTAGTGGGGCGCTCAGGAAATGACCATGGGTGAGGTCAGGTGAGCTGGGCAGTCGAGGACAGGCAGGAATCTGATGAGTCTTGCTGGTTCCCGTGAGCCCGGCCCTCAGAGAAGCCCACACTGGCCCCCATCATCCTGCTGGGCAGTCCCAGGCACTCACCTTCCCCTTGGCCATACTTGGCACTGTGGGCCCAGGTCAAGGCGGACTCGAAGCCCAGCTGGCGGCAGACGACTGTGGCCTCCCGGAGAGCGAAGTCGTCGTCACACACGGTGCCCCACCGGCCCTGATGCAGCACCTCCAGGCGGCCCTCCTCAGGCCCGCTCCCCGGGCCCACGAGCCGTATCTTCGTGGTGCCCAGCGACTGTGGACTGCTGGGGGGCGCCCGGTCCAGCAGCGGGAGCAGAAGGAGCAGGGAGAGGGCAGCTGGCGGGGACCTCATCTTGGTGACTTCACGGGCAGTTGGGCTCAGGCACCTGGGGAATGAGAAAATGTGACAGTGACCCCCACCTCTCCCTGCACCCCAGGTCTTTCTGCTGCTAGAGACAGAGAAAGTCAGGGTCCCTCCCTGCACGTGTGTGTGTGTATGGTGATTGAGTCTGTGCTCTGGGGTTAGTCCATTTGGCTCTAACCAAATTCATTGGCCATGTGACAGTGAAAAGTTGAACCTCACTGAACCTCGATCTCCTCATCTGCAAAGTGAGGTCAACGATTCCTGTCTCATAGCATCGTATTAAAGAAGATTCTGTAAGTAAAGTTTGTAGCATAAGCCTGCCCCATGGTAAGGGCTCACTAAGTAGCTCTTGTTACCTTCTTCTACATATAGATCCTTTGGGGGAGCCCATTGGGGTCCCCTCGGGCCCGGAAGAGCTACGCGTGCGGGTCATTGTCCTTGCCTACTGCTGATGTCCCCGGCACCTGGCCACTGCTCATAGGAGACACGCTGGAGTGGAAAGGCTCTTTTGAGGGAGTCTAGGCCTTTACCACCCATTTGCTGTGTGGCGTGGGCAAGTCTCTTACGTTCTCTGGGCCCTAATTTCTTGTTTCTGAAGTGAGGAGGCTGAACCAAATATTGTCTGCTATCTCCTCCAGCTTGAATAGTCTGGGAGATTCTCGATTCCTAGCATCAAAGTGCGTGATTCTTACACTGAATCAACAGCTGTTTTGGAATGCATGCTGGAAGCTGCTTATCAGGGCGGGTGCCACGACACAGCAGTGAAGACCTCATACAGAGCCCCCACCCTCACGAAACTCAGAGAAGAGGAGCTGGGGAAGGCTTTCAGAGAAGGGACAGGCACATGGGCTTTGCAGGGTGAGTAGGAGTTCTCCTGGGTGGTAAAGGACTTTTGAGGCAAAGAGGACAGGAAAGAGGGAAAGAGGACTGGACCCCAAAGCTCAAGCGAGAGCACGAAGCACCCCCTCTCAGCCCCAGCCTGCAGTATTGGGGACTTAGAGGAGAATGAGGGGAGCCTGGGCTGGGCCAGATGATCAGGGGCATGTGCTCCACACAGAGAGCTTGCCAGCCATCCTGCAGGACGTGCAGGGTGGTGGGAGGGTTTCAGCAGCAAACACACACCAGGGAGAGAGCCCCTGTCTGCAGGAGGGTGTCACCACACGCTCTTTGTGTCCTTGGAGGGGGTGAGGTTCCCTTCAACATTAGCAGCCTTGGTCTGGGGAGCACAGGATGGGGGAGGCGCAGATAGCAAGTCCCCAGGGGATGCCTGGAGCCACCGATGCTGCAGTTCCCCGCCAGGCTGTGCTGCTGCTGGACACTGAGGCTGGCCAGGATCGGCCTGCAGGAAGTTGGGTCTTTGGCTCCCTGTCCTGTGCTTGAATCTTCAGAAAGTTCCTTCTGGCCAGGCCCTTCCCCTCCATGGCCACTGCTGCTCTTCTGGCACCCAGCCCCGTGGCCTTCAGCAGCTCAGCCTCCTGCTGGGGCTGGGCGGAGAGGCTGCTAGAAGTGTGCTGGATGGGCTCAGGGAATGAGGCTCCATGGGAGCAGGACCTGTGTTATGCCCCCAGTGCCTGGGTGGCCATGGGGAAATACCTGGGTTTGCATGGATGTGAGAGGCGGCAGAGCCTGGAGCTTCAGAGTATAGAGTGGGAACCAGGCTGCCTGGCTTCAAATTCTACCTCTGCTGGGCCTCCCTAGGGGCGTAAGGGGTTAAGCACCACACTATGGAAGCAATCCTCAGCTTCTGCAGCATGAGTTCGATCCCCGGCTGGCCAGGGAGCAACCCACATGGCGCAGCAGACCTCTCCTAACTAGCCTGCTGCTCCCCTCAGCAGTGTATTTCAGTCGATCTGCCTGTTCTGTTCCCTACTCTGTCTCTGGTGAATCCCCTCACCCCCCGCATCTCTGGCCTGTAGCCCAGTTCTTGTATACATAAATAAATAAATCTTAAAAAAAAAAGATACCAAATTCTACCTCTGCCAATGAGCTACCAGGTGGTCTCAGAGCCACAGTTTCTCCCTCTGGCAAATGGGGATGAAAACAGCACTTACCGCATAGGACTCTTGTGCAGACTGAAGGAATGAACACACGTTAAACTCCTCAGAGAGGAAGCTCTCCGCTGACAAGTAGTATTAGCAGCAACTTACTAGAACCACTGGCGAAGGCTGGGCCAGCCCTTCTCCGTCTAAGGAGGCAATCTCGGCAGCAAGTGCCCTTCCTGGCTACATTCTCCAGACCTGCCTGTTTTCCCTGAGAGCCCGGAGTCTCCTCTCTCCTCCCTGAGGCTATGTGTCACCTGCTTCCCATTGCCACTGCTCTCCGAAGATGCCCTCCCCCACTTCTTCATCAGGATTAAATACCGTTTTCATGTCACTCCCCACTGCTGAGCCCTGGCAGGGTGGCAGGAGGGGTAGGGGTGTCAGGATGACTGTCACCCCCCAGTAGAGTGCTCCTAGAGGCCCCACTTCCTCTAAGTGCTCCTAGAGGTCCCCTCCTCGGCAGCCCTGCCCTGTGGCAAGAGAGGGTGGGAGAAGCAGGCTCAGGGCCCTCCTCCTGCTAGGACCCCCTGGCCTCAAGGGTCTGGCCTGAGTGATCCCCACTCCACTAACTCTGCCTCCAAACTGTTATGTGATTCGAGTCCACAGAGTTCTTCCCTGAGACTCAGATGCAGCACCTGTAAAATGAGGGGGTGGCACTGTGGGGGGGGCGGGCACCGATCCAGGACATGCTCTAATAAGCCCTCGGCAGCTGCGCTGGTCTGTGGCTGGCGTCTCCACAGCACAGAGGCGTCTCATTAGAGGCTGCAAGCAGCCCTGGGCTCCCCTTCGAGGGGCGTCCCTGGGGGCAGCGCTGACTTGTGCTGCAGGACCGACTATGGGTTCTGAACGGGGCAGCGCTCATGGAGAGGAGGCCCACAGGCAGTGGCCCGACTGGCAGTCAGGTGGGGAGCACCCTCTTCCCAGCCCTCTGTAGCCCCAGCTCACACCAACTTGTCTTCTCACCATTCCCCAAACACACCCTTCGATTCCCAGGCTCCAGGCCTTTGCCCTCCCTGTTCCTTCTACTCAGAGTAGCCTCCTCCTGCCTCAGGTTGTTAAATTCTACTCATCTTTCAACAACCAGCTCAAATGCCACCCCCTCCATTCAGCCCTCCTGGCTGCCCACTTCCCAGCACTTGCTTGTGTTCGTTTCCTGTCTCCACACACCCAGTCTCCACAGTGTCTTCCAGCAGCTTCCCCCAGTGCTGAGCACAGACAAGAGAACCGGGCCAGCACACTCCCCCGGAGAAGGAAGTAGCCTTAAAAGGGCAGCTCTTTCCTCGAGTGAAGGAGCAGGCAGAATGACAGGAAGGTGGGCTGGAGGTGAGGATAGGGAGGGGGGTTAATACTAATTATTATCACTATACATTTCAAATATTTATTGAATACTTATCTCCACTTTACAGAGAAGAGGATGAGGCCCAGAAAAGCTAAGTAACTTGCCCCACCAGACTCAAACCCAGCAGCCTGGCTCCGGAAGCCGGACTCTCAAGCAGGAGAGATGGGTGCTGGAGGAGGAGAAAGGAACGGGGGAAATGAATGGAATGCCACTCTGCTGCTGGTGCATTCATGACCCTAGCGTGGTCGAGGGCACTGGGGTGGGCGCCAGCACTGGGCACAACCAAGTGACAGATCCAGGACCTGTCGGCTTAGGGCAGAGAGGCACCTGCTCCAGGTGCTGCTAGGGATGTTGGCGCCTAACCTGAGCAGGACCCCAAGGGAAGCTGGGGCAGAGGGCAGAGGGCAAGTGCCCCAGGCTCTTTAGGAGAGAGAGGATCAGGTATTGGCCTGGCATTTATCCTGCTTGGGGTCCCTCGAAGCCCCTTCTTTCTAGCAATTAGGGGGAGGGGAGGGCTTCCCCCACTCCCAACCCATTCCTGCTGGGACTCTTGTTATGGTGACCCGAAACATGCCAGCGCATGGGTCTCAGCTCTACCTGACTCTCAGCCCTACCTGTGCAGGAGGAGGACATGTGGGGACTGAAGCCCTGTGCCAACCCTCCATCCTCTGCCTGCCACCACACCTCCCCAGCCCCCCAGTCCTCACCATCCACTCTGGTCTGATTAGCTGGAGAGCCTGGATCAATCCTGCCTCAATGTCCTCCAGCAGCAGAAGTGACGTCTGAGCCCACCTTGCCGGGTCCCTACCCCTCCCAGGGTGAGGAGGCAGAGAAACCGTATAAACAAGGCACAGAGGCACCCCTGCCAGGTTGCTCAACCCTCTGGGCCTTGGGCCAAGCTCCCCAACTTGGTCTCTTTTCCAACTGAAAGCAGATTCGAGAGCCACTGCTAGGCTAAGCTAACTGTCTCCGGCCCCCCAGCCTTCAGGAACCCTCGGAGGTTTGCAGACCTACAGAGAGACAGCGTGACAGACCAACAGACAGGACAGCAAGAGACAGACCTGTGCCCAAGGGCCAGGCAGGGCTCACCAGCTGGAGCGCAGATGGTCTGGGGCTGGGGCCCGGTGCCTCGCTGAGCAGCACTAACCGACCTCCCGGGGCTCCCCGGGGCCCTTTTATCCGGCTGCAGCCGCGGGCGCCCCCCACCCAGGCGGCCACGGAGGAGGCCCCGCCCCCGGGCGGACCAGGACTAGGCGGGCGCCCCGCCCGGCCGGCCCTCCGCCTGGTGCCCCCCCTGGGACCCGGGAAAAGGGCCAGCGCGGCGGGACGCTCTCCGCGGCCCCGCGGTCCCAGGAAGTCTGGGGGCCTGAGGTTGCTGGGAGCCGGGAAGTGGGGGCAGCTGTTTTTCTGGAGGAAAAGTGCGCGGCAGCAGGAGGGACTGTGGGAGGATCAGAGTTTCCAGGAGGGCGCAGCCAAGGCTGCTGTCCCCACATAGGTCCCTGTCTGAGCTCGGGTTCCTCCTCTGCAAACCCGATATTTCCACCCGCTAGAGTTGACCTGGGGATTAAATTCAGAAGGTCCCCTATAGGCCAGTGGCCCCAGCACAGCGCCTAGTGGTGGGAGCCTGTCTTTTCCCAGGAGCTTGGTTACTGGGGACATGGCAGACCCCTTCTGGGGCCCGGTGGGCTTAGGCAGGAGAGGGAGAGAGTGGGTGCAAAAGACTGCAGGATGGCGCGCTGCGGAGGTGCCTGTGGAGGACCTGGCAGCCCTGGACATCACCCCCCACCCCATATTAAGTCCTACATGGCTTGAGACTTCTCCTGTGCCCATTATATGGTTGGGAACACTGAGCCCCAGGAGACAGGATTGGCCGCCCCCAGGTGATAACAGTAAATGGGACAACTACTAGAACCCCTTACAGTAAATGGGGGGACCCCTTGCAGTAGATGGGAGAACTGCTACACCCCCCTGGCCCTTCACAGGCTGATGGGGGCGGTGGGGTGTGGAGGTTGGGGTGGGGAAAGACTGTGAAGTGAGACAAATATGGAAAAGACAGAGGGAGGGGAATCCTATCAGGCACCTGAATTCCTGCCCCTCTCCCTCCAATCCTTTCTCGCAGTCCTGGCCCCTCCCAGTGCCCCAGAGCCCCCATCTGTAAAATGGGCAGAGGCCTGCAGCCTCGCAGTGTCCGCCTGAGGCCGAGATCAGTGCACCCTGGATCCTCTTCGCCCCTCCACCTTGCCTGAGTGTCATTCCAAAGGCTCATTCACTCAGTAAATCTTTATTGATTTTCTCCTACATGCCAGACAGGGTCCTGGTGTGCTAGACACGGCAGGGGGGTGTTCCCAGCCTGGTGTGGGAGACAGAGATGTAAACACACAGCACTGCAGGCCAGAGCGCCGTGAGGCCAGGGTGGCAAGGTGAGACTTTGTGATGCCTGGATGACAGCCAGGTCCCACTGGCCAGCTGCTGGAGGACGGCTGCCCCCGGCTGCCCACTTGAGATGTCCCCCCAGTGCCCTGCCCCGCCTTCCCTGGGCCAGAGCATTCCCTGTGATGAATCAACAGGAAAGAATGCTCCCAGCCTGGGTCAGTGGCAGCAGCAGCAGTCCCGCCCCGTCCCCAGGGACAATGAGGCAGCTGTGGACTGGGGTGCCAGGTATGCCTAGACCCCTTGCCGTGCCCAGCCACCTCTCATGCTGAGCCAGGAACAACACAGAGGGCTCGGAAAACGTGGGCACCGCCTGCTGCCAATCACCCACCCTGGCCTGGCTGCCCCAAACTAAAAATACCCTGGAGGCCAGGGGCTGGCCAAACCAGAGCCCAGGGAATGAATGGATTTTGCCCGGAAGTCCTTGAACCTGCCAGGCTCTGGGCAGAGGCTAGGCTGGGAGCAGTGGAAGGCGGAATCTCCCAGGGGGTCACTGCGGGCCCCCTCCTTGAGATGTGAGGGGCCGGGGGCCCAGGCCCAGCTCCATGTCTCTAGTGGTGGGATTTTCTCAGCTGAATGGCCATGTCCTCATCCTTAAATGTCCTTGCTGCAGGGGGTCAGAGGGAGGATTCTGTTCATCTCAATGAGCTCTGATTTGATGGAGCCTGCCTGCTTCCTCCTCCGTGCCTGGCTGTGCTCGCGCTGCCCGCCAGCGCCCGAGACCCTCGGCTGCGCTCTTGATGCGCAGGTCCGTGTCTGCCTGGGCTCTGGGGCTGGGAGTCTTATTATCTCTGAGCCCAGGGCTTGGCCCGCCGCAAGGGCTCACTGTGCTCTCGTAGACTGAGTGCACGGGCCTGCTTCAAGCTGGTCTTGGGTCAGAATCCAGGAAGACAAGTCAGCTCTGAGCCTTGTCCTCCAGGCATTCGCAGAACGGTGGGGAGACAGATCCACTGTCACCGAACAGACAGGGCCGCTCGTGGCCCCCGCCAGCAGGCAGCAGCCGGCTCATCTCATCCGACGCAGATGGAGCATCTCATCTAATCTCGGAAACCCTCCGGGCAGTACTTTCCTCACCCCTGTTAGAAACTGTGAAACGGGCACAGAGGGTTGAAGTGCTTTGGCCAAATCCATGCCGCTGCTACCTGCCAAGGGCAAACGGGGGCGGAAGCGCAGGCTGTGCAGCGGAGGGGAGGCTGGGATGGAAGGCTCCGTGGAGGAGGTGGACGGGACCCACTCAGTAGAGGTGAAAATGGTCAGATGGTGCCGTGGAAGCCACAGGCACTGACAGGTGTTGGGAGTTACCCCCGCGGCCTGTGCATCACTGTCCACCACTCTGCCAGGTAAGATGGTTGGAGGTTGGAGCTAACAGGAATCTCTCCCTGTGGGGTGGGTGATCCTCAACACCACCCAAATTCAGGCCTGTGCTCTCCTCCCAGAGGGAAGGCCAGAATCTCCTGCAGAAAGCGGGGTCCTCCTAGGATGTCACCAGCAGCACCGGGGAGAACCCAGTTATACAGTGTGGTGCCCGTGGCCCCTACCTGAGCCCACTGCCCGTGCCCGCTGGCAAAACTTCCTCCTCAGCAGCTTCAGGACGCAGCCAGACCCACCTCCTTAGAGACTAGTAAGGAGGAATTTGTGCAGCTTGGGAGCCAGGAACCCAGAGTGCTAGTTCAGTCTGGATTGTGTGGCCTTGGGAAAGTCATTTCACTGAGCCCACGATGGAGCTGCTGCACTTTGGTCTGCCTTTGTCCCCCACCCCTCTGACATCAGGGGGCCTCATGCTGCACTTAGGACAATAGACCCCAAGCTGTCTTCCTATTTCCCTGCCTCTTGGCTGTCCCTGTCTTTAGTAAGGCCTGCACAGGCTGATCTTCCTAATGTATTGTCATGCCCCAGCTCACGAACCTTCACTGGCTCACCTTTGCCACAGGAGATGGAGAATCCACCATTGTTTCTCCTGCTTCCTGTGCTCCTTTTTCTCCTGACTGCGTTTTCCCTGTTCTACCTCTCCTCAGGCTTACCTCAGGCTCCAGTTCCTCATCTCCAACTTGAGCATCAGTGCTTTGAGGAACACTCTCAATCTATAAAGTGCTGGAAGACACAGAGCTGAGCTGGACAAAATCTTCCTTCTGCCTGTCACCTGGTGGAGAGACAATCAGACACCCAGTGACGAGGAGGCTGGTAACAGGATGCGGGACAAGAAGGGCACCGTAGACCATTTTGACAAAGGATGGGCTTTTCCTTTGCTGAGAGATTAGGCTTTTGTTCACAGGGGCATGAAATTGGGGGATTTTCGGAGGTCCTGGGGAGGGGGGCGTGAGGTGGTGGCAGCAGCAAGGCTGGAGAGGGGAGCCAAGTTGCTGGTTCCTGGGGAATAGGAGAGATGAAGCTGTGGTCATACGAGGGGAAATTGTGGGTAAGAACCGAGCTAGTTAAATAGAAAATTTAGGAAGTTGTTTTGTGATATTCCATGTCATCCTCTCTCCTCTGAAAGCTTCAGAAAAAATCTCTAATAGTGACATTTGGTGTTGGACAGAGTCACCCCAACATTTGTAGGACCCTGGTGTGAGTTCAAGGGGACTCATTCCATGTGTCCAAATATTTCAAAGTTAAAATTCAAACTAGCTCTTTGTTAAATAAAATGAGGCCTGGCCAGGTGGATCTAGGCTTGGCAAATACACCTTTGGTGAGAACTGGAAGGCCAGGTTTGAATACAGAACTTCCCAGTCCTTGAAGGTCGGGGTGGTCCATGTTACAACGGGGAGTGTCAAGCCCTGACGCTGAGCCCTGCCCCCTCCACTGCCCCCTCTTCTGCCACCTCTGGCCCACCCCACGCAGCAGCACTGCTGTGAGAGAACAGCTCTCGGGCCCTGTCCAGACCCAGCACAGCTCCCTCGGGCTGTGGGTGCCTGGTGCCCAGCCTCCAGGCCTTGCCCGCACTCAGGAGGTAGAGCTGGACGCAGCTCGGGCGTATTGGACAAGGAATTTCTGGAATATGCCTTCTGCTGGGGTCGGGGCTCTAGCAGGCACATGCCCTGGGCTCTTGAGCCACTTTCCCTGTGGGGAGGCGCGAATGGACAAGGATCAGTGATGCCCTCTAAAGTGTGCAGGACCAGAGCAGGCCTTCCTTGCCCAGGTCTCGGGAGAGTTTGGGGCAGAGGGGGAAGCAGCAGAATGGGCAACATGAAGGTGAAGGTGGGGACATGCTTAGAGGTGGGCCCTGAGGGTGGGTGTGGGCAACGGGCTGAGTTTAGAGAGCTGTGGGCCATCCAGCCCCTGTGCCAGGTGCCTCTCCCCTGGGCACGTAAGAGGGGTCACTGAAAGGAACCTTAACCTTTCCTGGCACTGTCTTGATTGGTATTTGATTCTTCACCAATTCATACCTTTTGGTGGGGGTATACCTTTGGTGAGAAGGCAGGTTTGGGGAGCAGAGGATAGGGAGTTTAATAACCTGTATGCTACTAAAAGCAGAGCACCCAACTGAGACTCCCCCATTTCTGCCTTGGCCTTGGGGTCCCCAGCATGAAAGCCCTGAGCGCCCATGTTTGGACCTGCACTCCGGTTTCATACCAGTAGCTCAGTGTTCATGTCTCCCCACAGGCCTGTTTCTTCCTCCTCAGGAAGGTGCAGCCTCTCGCCTCGTTGTCCTGTTTCTCGCATTTAAGTGGTGGTCACTGCTGCTC